TAAATTAGGTGTATTTACCCTTAGTTTAAGTAGGTAAATGAGATAGTTTGCCATTGGAATGACTATTTTTACTCTTAAAATAAGATAATTAGATCATATGCACTTAAAATAAGCCAATGCAATTGAGTTTTCTTGTTTTAAGTTTAAATTGTCTTCTTCCATTGGCAAAGTCTCTCTTTTACGTCCTTAATCCAAAAACAAAAGCACTTATTTTAAGAAAAAATGACTTATCCAGATTTAAATTTTTTCCAGTGTAGGGAAGGACTGCAATCCTCTGATAAGAAATGTCTTTAATAGAAGTGAACCAGAGACCCTTGCAAGAAAGAAATGTAATCTGATTAGGGATTGAGTATCAATTTAAATTTCAAGATTTTTATGATCTGATCTGGTCTGATCTCAAATTGTATTGCATATATAAAAAATTTTTTTTTACTTATACCTGAATTACACAACGTTGTAGTTTCACAGCTTATAGCTACCTGTATTATATGAACATTCAACAGCAAACTGATAAAGGAATGGTTGTTAATAGTGGCTGTAAGAACAGTGGAAAATGCATCTGTAGTAGAGCATTCAAAAACTATTGATTTTATTTATTTAGACATTCGAAAGTGAATTCGCTGGTTTTCTTAGGGTCGTCCTTCTGCTCATTAGCAGGATATTTTGCTTTAGCATTTTCTCCTCTGTTGTAAAATTCATGTTTCCATCATTCGCAGAAGGATTCAGGAGCAGTCCCATACCATCACTCTAACACCACCATGTCTGACTGTTTATTTGTTGTTACTTTTAAGCCAAATGTAATTAGAGTAAGACTTTCTAAACTGTTCCAGCTCCACCAGTCCACAGAACATTGGAATAGCATTGAAAATCTTCATTAGCTGCCTGGATAGCCAGCCTATGTCTTTCAGTCCTTTTACAATAAACCATTAATGTCTCTTTGAGCGTTACAGCGGCTGTTTTGAGCTTCTATAGGTTCGCTTGAGGTGTTGCAGTTCAGTCTCTCCTAACTCTAACCGATTAAATGTTTTTATAGCAAACAAGTTAATTGTTTATTTTATATCTTAAACCAGAGCATGGTGCATCTATTTTTAACCCTTTTAGCCTACGTGATTTCGACAGAAAGTTACTCCATGTTATGAGGGAAGCAGGGATTCTGCTTTTTGAATCAAGTCAGCCTGTTTTAGGTTGTATTCTTCCCCTCTGTTGACATGTTTGTTTAATTAGATGATTATTATTATTTTTTTTATGTATTTACTCAGGCTAGAAAGGTTTTATGGAAAGACAGAAGTAGGTTTAAAAAAACGAAAGTGTCTTCTACAGTAGTCTCACAACCATTGTGCATTTTAGCCTGTTTAATATATCAACTAAAAAAAACCTCTGAATTTCTTTTAATCTTAATCTCATTTCCAATATGAGATTCATTTAAGCATTTAGAGCAATTTGAATGACAAGTCTCATTCTGAAATTGTTTTTAATCTCTTTTTGCCTAATCACATTTTAACCAAAAGGAACATGTTCAGATGATTAGAAGCAAAAGCTATTTTTATTCTAATATAATTAGACATGTTCTACTTTGTCTCAATGTAAAAAGTCTATTTATAATGTGGATGTAGTATGCCTGATCACGAACATAATCATGAGATGAATACGAGCACTGTGCAAGATAATAAGACCTTTAATGTTATGAGGGCAATGTGAGGACCTGTGAGGACTCCCTGTCCCTGCATTTTTACTTTAGACCAGTGACGTGCGGTGAGGTTCATAGCTGGTGAGGCACTGACGTCATCAGAATCAGATTTGCAAATAGATGCATAGATTGACAGCAGTTTACAGGTTATGTTTCACTTCTGCATCCTTACACATACAAACTGTAGCTCACAAAACACACATTTCCTTAAAAAACAAAACAAAATAAATGTTATTACTGTCTTACCTTTACTTATAAATGAATAGAAGTCCTCCTTATCTTCCTTCAGTTTTAAAAGTCTCTCTGTCTCAATGGAGATCACTGCCAGGGAAGAAAGCCTTCCTTGATCCGTCCTGTTCCTGCCTTATGTTTTCAGTCTCTTGAGCACCCCCTGCCATGAGGCAAGAGAACTGCCTGCCTCACCTCGAACTTGTTCTCTGCCGTTTATAATCGCTCATTACACGAAACACGTTACACAAACACAGTTGGTGACAAAAAGCTCTGTACATTATATACATAAGCCAAATTATTAGAAATAAGTTCACATATTACATTTGTTTAAACCATTTTATTGACGCCGTACAGCAACATGCTCTCTCCGCTTTGCAGCCAGCGCAGAGCCAGGGGTTGCGCAATCCAAGGTGAGGCAGAGCTCGCTGCTGCCTCACCAGCATCGCTTCCAAGCATTTGAATGGGAAAATAAGAAAATTCAGCGATTTTGAACAAATAAAAATCGAAATTGGTGAAGCTACATGAAAAATGAATATTTTTTAGTACAAACCACCGGATGAATATAACAATTTAAATTACTTTATGATTATATATTTTCTTTCTTTCCATGATGGCTGGTGAGGCACTGCCTCACCTGCCTCCCCTGACCGCACGTCACTGCTTTAGACTTAGATTGAGGGAAGTTAGCCGTTTCTGTTAGAATTGCCATAGACATTAGCAGAGCTCGTCTTAGATCATGTAAATGAAACAATTTCTCTAATGGCAACACTTTTTCATAATGCTTGCGTGAAAAAATTACTAAAAGTATTGGGTCTGTCCAGGGTCGGACTGGGAAAGATTTTCGGCCCTGGCATTTTTCCATCTACACCGGCCCACTACCCCACACTTGCACGAAGCCAGCCAGAAACCCACTCACACATACTAGGTCTATAACGTAAGCCTGAGTGTTGTAAAAACACCAACATAAACCAATTTAAGAGTGAATACATGAAAGCTCATAAATAAGCATTCACTTCAAGCCTAGGTTGCATGTGGGCAATGAAACGGAATTATTTAAACAGATGCAAAACCCCTTCATGCACCGCAACATATTTTTGCGAAATATTCGAACATAAATTCACCAAATATAAGAGGAACATTGTGGTTTAGTTTAAAGAAGGCATTTTAGTTTTATTATAGTTTAGTTTGTTGCAAGGATTTTACGGTTTGAACAAATAGAAAATGACACCATATGCCAACCATCACAAGGATGTGCATGACAAGGAAAGGTTATATATACTTCATGCATCATCTAGGTAGTTAATATTGTATTACTTCTTGAACTCCTTGAGTTACTTATTGTCACAGGTAGGAGCTTCGGCCGGAGAGGAAATGTTGGGGCCGGTATGATTTAAGGAGGGCCGGCTTATGCACGCTGAAATTAGGACCGGCCTACCGTATCACAGATTACCATTCCGAGCCTGGGTCTATCTGCCTGCATTTTGAATGGACGTATTAACAAGCTAACTTACTTGGGCTTCCATTGGCAGAACTCTGTTATTCAATGGCTCTGCATGAGACCAAATCTAGACCTATTATCAGAATTCAACTTTTATTGCCATTACTTTTTCACAAGTACAAAGCAACAAAATTTACCTTTTAACCCATCCCTATGGGGAGCAGTGGGCTGCCATTGTGCGGCGCCAGGGGAGCAGTGTGAGGTTAAAGGTCTTGCTCAGGGACCCAGAGTGGCAGTCAATGGGAGTGGGGCTTGAACTCTGAACCTCTGGGATCCAAGCGCAATGCTCTAACCGCTAGGCCACCACTTCCTCTTTGCACAGTTTGGGGATCTGGGGCATAGCTTAAATAAACATTTTCACAGCTTATCTTTGTCAAACCTGACTCTGAGCTTAAGCTTTTTTGAATAGTAAAGGAAATCAGTTTCTAGATGCACTGGTAGAGATAGAAATATAGTTTCATGTATTAACTGTAGGGCTCTATGAAAATGAACGTAATTTCTAATTTGTAAAAAAAAAAAATATTAAAAAAGGAAAAAAACATGCCCTTTTACATTCTGTATACGTTAATCTGTAACATTGTCCAGATAAGAGGGAAAGTTTGAGTCTCTTTTTATCTCTTGTTATCTTTTCTGCTATTGAAGTCTGAACAAAGATTACAGAACCATAAAAATGTGAGGTTGTGACATGACAGCCAATGGATATGGACTATCCTCTCCTTGTCAGTTGTCAGTTTGCCGTATTTAAAAATAATTTGTTGTTTTCCCTAATATAAGGAAAGTGGTGATCAGTCGATATTAAGTTACCCATTATCTGCATTTGCTGACTTTACTTTTAGGTTTGAATAAAAACTGGATTTCAGAATCAATCAGAATCAAGTTTATTTGCAAGTAGGTTTGCACTAACAAGGAATTTGATTTGATGATGATGCAGACAAATTAAATATATATACAGAATACAGGATCTATAGTTATATTTAATATAAAACGTTATAATATACTATATACCATATATAGTATAGCTATGTACTATATACAGTTCATAGCTTGGTTTTTAGATAACAGACTGTTTTAAGTTTTTTTTTTTTTTTGAAGGGTTGCATCTTTAAAATTCTGAATGGCTATTCTCATACTCACCAGTGTGTGGCAGACTGGGTCCCCCTGCTGTCCTCACTGCCATTGTTTGATTGTGGGAGAGTTTCTTCACTTAAATGGAGGAGAAAAAATTAATGATTAAGATTAGGAAAGGAGGGGGTCTTTCTTTTGCATTGCACGGCAAAGTGGTGCCTTTTTGCAGGTATGCATACTCCTACATTTTCAACATGCATCCTGCTTTTTCTTATTGCTTTTATGGCCTAAATCTTGATAATGAAACTTAACAACTAATACTAACAGTAATCATCACCATTTATTTACATTTTCAATTTATTAACAAATGAATCTAGAAACTGCTGCATTTTTAAATATGTCTCTGGAAGAAGTATGATATGTGATACCAGGGGCGGACCGTCTGAATCTCCTCCTCCTTACTGGCACACAGACTGTGGGAGTGGATGTATGTGTCTGTGTGTGGGGGGGTGAGCATGGTAGGGGGCTGTGCTGTCTGGTGACAGCTCAGTAAGCAGCTGAAATCCTCGGCTGTGGCAGAATGGACAACCTCACCTTCCACCAGGATGTTCTCTGACAGAAACTTTGGTTGCGTTCGACTGTCTTTTAGCTCAGCGTGGGTGTGGGTGAGCGTGGGTGAGAGGGCATGCTTGTCTCTGTAAAACCATGGCTCTGAACAGAGTGTCTCAACTGTGCCACGAGATCACCAGGCTGTGGCTGCAGCTGAAGATGATAACAGGTAGAGTTGAGTTTCCTCTGAGACAAGTCTATCTTGTAATAGAATATACTCTATGATAAAAGCCACAATTCAGGTGATTTTTATGCATCTCTTCTGTTTAGACAGAGAAATGTAAAATGTCTTCTTTTTATTTAGAGAATAATAAATCATTTAGATTTTTAAAATGAGACAAATGTCAAACAAAATGAATTTGAAATCTTACATATAAAATACATTTTATTGTTCTTTAATTCATGCAGAAATTAAATGCTTGAATTAAAGGTAATACCTGATAATATATTAGAAATTTGGTGTGCATTATCCTGGTCAGATTTTCCCTAATTAATCTGCAAGGGTTGGTTACTGTGTTTTAATCTATGCAGTTCATGTTTTTTCTTTCAGCTCTCACATGCTGAATCTAACTGCTGACAATCTTGTTTGACATTACTTATAAGTTGTCATGTTCCCCATTTTGTAATCTATGTTTCCAATAGGGGCGATAATGAACAACTTCTGGGCAGGGCGGCTTGTGGTCATGTGTTTTTCCATCTTTATGACTTGATCATGTCTTCCTTAAATGGAAGGTGTCATTAACCAGTGAAGCTGTGAATTTTTTAGTTCCTTTTTTAGTAGCATTTTATTTAGAAGACTCAAATTAGCGCACAATGTAAAAAGAAATATAGTTTTTACAAATGCAAATCCAGAATGTGTATTACCTTCTCCTGGTGCTGTGAGAGCTGCACATTTGCAAAGTAGCTCATGCTTTGTTGGATTGGATAAAGAGGTTTGGTGAACATTAGTTTTGAAATCGCCAGATTCTCTCTCTATAGGATGTTTGGCCCGACTTTGTTTAGGCCACTCTGACACATTCCGATTCTCTCTGTTTCCGTTACTGTGTAGAGTTGTTGTCCAAATAGTAAATCTCAAGTATGTTCCAGTTTTAGACGGGTATTCTTTCAGTACTGTCCTTATTTAACTCCTCCCATCATCTGCTTCTGTCTCCTTGAACCCCAGTCGGCCTTGGTACAGTAGATGGCCGCTCACATTGAGCCTGTTTCTGCTGGGGTTTTTTCCTCTCCACTGTCACTACAAGCATTCTTAGTGTGAGAGATTGTCTTTGAGTGAATTAGTCTATGCAATCAGCTGGTTTTCCTTAGATTGAAAACTTTGAATCAGTTTGAGTGTATGATCAGGATAAATTGTCTCTGATGACATGTGTAGTGAATTGGCACTGTAAAAATAAATTGAATTGAGCTGAATTGAACTCCAATCAACCTCTCTGTCCCTGCTGCCACTTCTCCCTGCATGGACGCCTCATTCTGTATTTTGTGCAGCATCTAAAGTTGCATTCAAAATCCTGATATTTTGGTTTTACCTTTTTCCACGTTTGTTGAAACCTGTGACAAACTTTCAGCAGTGGATTTCATGCAGTTTTTGTGGAGGATATGACTTTTATATGTCCTGTAAATGTCTTCCGTCACCTGAACCCTGGATCTCTGTAGCTTCTCCAGTGTTACCAAGGTCCTCTATTTAGCTTGTCCGATTAATGTTCTCCTTACAAAGACTTAGTTTGATGTCGATCTTATGAGTTGAAACCAGATTCTTTACAATAATCCTTTACCAATATACTACTTTCACCAAGAGCCATTTTTAAATTAATTGTCAATCACTGACCTAACATAATTATTGCGACCCGATTATTATAATTTTTTTTTTTTCACATTGATTTTGTCTCGTTTGCACCGAGACGTTGTCCGTCGAATGCTTACATAATCAAATCCAAGGTGGACAGTGTATTCTGTCCTCAGGTCGTACAGTTGTTTTGTCGAAGCAAACTGTGGGATCATATAACTCGCGGTACAGTATGCTGAGGAGCACACTGACAGCATGTTAATCACATTCATCCCATTAATTCTGTGTGTTTCCTCTTGTCATTTCGGGGCACAACCCTTTTCGGCCTGTGGACATCAACATCTCCTCCCCCCCCTCTTTCCACTCTCTTGTGTGCTCGCTGGCTGACTTTTCTGTTGTTTTTATTCAGCTCTTTTTGTTTGCTTTGGTGAGAATTATCAGTCGAACCATGAGCTGCTGTGTTTATCATAATCCATGGAGATTGTATCGAGCTCAATGTTGGCTTTTACAGGTTTGTTTAGTTTGGTGTGTTTTGCTGGCCAACCTAAATCCTGCTCACACATAAAAAACATTGCAAAAAAGTGGCTACCTCTCTCTTAGTCTGAATTTTCATCTCTGCTTCCAGAAGCTGCTGTGCATCACAGTTACGGATATCTCACAAATAATTGTTAAATTTGCTCTTTGTATCCAACAGCAGGACAACATCAACGATTTGCAACAGAAATCAATAAATATACCAGAGGAAAGCTAAATGGATCTTTCATGATCCCTGAGGGAGGAAACAGATGCTCGACAAATCAAATAAACTGATTAATAAATGAGGGGAACACTTTCATCAGGTTTAAACAAATCAAATTCATTTTAAGTTTTATAACATGGTGAGGCATGCCAAGCTGTTGTAATCTGTAACACAGCTAGGTTTATTTTATTATTTTATGTTAAAGTTATGGGTTATCTTACTTCCATCCATCCCTGCTGGGATAAAGCGTGACAGAAAGCATTAAGAATGAAACAAATATCTTAACTTTGTGCGTTCAGATGAGTTTGCTCATCAGTGTAATATTACCGGTCATAACTGAATTTAGAATTTGTTATGATGATTTTATTTTAACTGCATTTTCTGCTAAATATGTAAGCTAATTACTCCAAAATGAATTTTCAGGGCCATGCTGCGTTTTTGTAGAAAAATCAACAGCATGAGTACTCATATAGAGTTCAGGTTGGGTTTAGGAGGTTCAGGAGCAGCAATGTAAAGCAATTCTAAGGAATAAAAATATCTAAATTCATATTAAGTTATCTTTTTAAAGATATTGTGGAGGATTTTTTAAAAGACCCGCCCTCTCCTCTTTAAGATGAAAATGCGGGTGCAAGAGCATGCACAAGCCCATTTCTCCTTGTGCACGCCCTGTTTAAAATGTGCTGTTCTCATTGCTCATACAAGCTTACTATGTCCACATACAGCAGGGATTATAGAGTGGACTTTATAGTGAACTCGGTTAACTGACCATTTGGACAGATGATCAATGCTTTTTGCTTTGTTTGTCACGTAACTCCTCTGTGCGGTGCATGTTTTATCTTTGTTAATAGTTGCCACTATAGGGTAACTGTGACACTAAATCCCATTAAGCTTTGCATGGAGAGCTCTCCGCAGAAAGCATTACGGGATATATCTGCCTCCTCCGAGGCCTTTCTTTTCTTCTCATACACTTCGTAGAAACTTTTTCTCTTACGACCCTCGACCATTTTCAAAGAACCACTGTGAGAAAGGTGAGCTTCAGCGATTGTTTGAAACCATAGCTCACCACACATACCGGTATGTGGCTTAAAGTGCACATGCGCAGAAAAAGTTAGCTAACAGGATGAGCACGTGGTACGGCCTTATGTAAACATATTACTAGAATGATTGACAATTAGGAGGACCACTTATTTAGATGATCAACCTGGAAATAAAAGATCGTCCTCCATACCTTTAAGTTTGAGCATGCCGACTAGGGCTGAAACTAACAATGAATTGCAAATTGATTAAACTGTTGGATTTTTTTTTCAATTAATCAATTAATAATCAGATATCCAAAGGTTCATTAAAGAAGAATGTTAATAAATTAACCCTGGTGAAACCAAATGTTTCCATTTGATGAGTTCTGGATTGAACATATTGACAGACAATAAAAAGGTTTTATTTATCTTAAATGCAAAATTTTTACATATTTTCTTACAATTTTGATATAATTACTGCTCTATTTGGTTGCTCTGTCAGCTAAAGGCATGTTTTACAGTCTCTATACTCCATTTAACAATTAATCGATTAATAAATAAGTTGACTAATTCAATAATCGATTAATCATGATATGATTCCTAGTGCTGACACCTGTGCGACTCGGTGCAACAGCGCTGGTCAGAACTGGAGCTAATTTTTCAAAGTTTACCTAAATCCAAAGGGCTTTTAAATCCCAATGTAGGTTGTAGGTTTGTTACGTCTTTTAATAGAGCACACAGAATACTGTATTATCACTGGTTTTCTACAGAATAAGTAATCAAAAAATTACTTTTGTTTTCCTGAAGTTATAAATGTGACCAAGTTAAAGTCTTCAAAAAAAAAAATTTAATTATGCCACTGCATCCAAAAAAAAAGAACTTTAAGGTTTTTACACTATTTACACAAGTTGGTGTTTGTTGGCATTAGAAAGCCTCTGTTTCAGGCACATCTGTACAATAAAACGCCTGTTTAAACAGTAGAAAGGAAGAAAAATTGATAACATTCAGTAAAAAAAAAAAGATTTTTCTATATATTTTCAAATATTAGGAATATCTTCAGGAAAGGTATCGCTGCAACGACTAACTGTATACGGAACAGCAGTGTTAGTGGAATAAGTAACTCTTTTTCCACATATATGTGCTTTCTTCCAGGGCAAGTAAAAACACAGCCCGGGATGATTATTTGCCTACTGCCTGCCTCTCTCTCTTACCCTCTTTGTATGTCATTTCCATTTTTTTAATCCTCCCCCAGCTGCCTTTCTAAGGTTTCGTGCTCTTTGTTCAGTGTAGTGTAATGACTAGTCGCTATGGCCAGAGGGCAGCTAAAAAGGGGATGCTGTCATATTTGCTGGCGTTGCGCTCTGTAGAGCTATTACTGTAATGGTAAGGAAAGAGGAAAGGAGGGAATGTAGGTTTAAACCCACAGAACTGCAAGCATAAATATGCTTTGTAGTCCAGTGATTTGGGAGTTCCTTTGAGCCATAAATAATCATGTGGGATCACAAGCTTGTGTTGCGTTCTTTGCCTGCAGGGCAGGTGGAGTTTTACAATATGCTCTAACAACGTTTGTGGTTTCTCTCTCTGTTTAACATGAGGTATTTAGTGGGTTTAAGATATGCCTTCTAAAATTAAGC